TAATGTTAAACTAATCTAACTGGAAACAAGCAATAAATGTATAGAAACATTTCTTAAGCACGAGGTCTTGATTATCTGACGTGTTAATCGATTTACATCCGATTGAACGTGTTGTCAGATAATTATAGTGGAGCAGACGATACATTCTGAGGGGGTTTTCACCGCAAGGGGGGACAACCCTTAAAACGCGTGACCTGTAAAGGCTAGATTTATCCGTTTGTACATCTATACTTAAGAAATTCTGCACGTAATCATACATACAAAAACAAATCAAAATTTGTGGTTGTCAGATTGTAATAAGTTTTACAATATATGATTCGTAAATATAGTTTTACGCAATAGCAATATTTCCTAAGTGTTATCTCAATTTCAAACGATTTAAACCTTATAAATTATTCAATTTAAAATTGTAAAAAATGAAAACCAATCTTGTATAAATTCATTTTTCGTCAATTTTCTTTCTTCAGATAATACAGTGTTTAAGATACATTATTCATAAAAGCAATTCAAAGCTTCTTTAATTAATGTCTTAATGTTATTGCGCTTTTTTATTTTTCGATTCTGAACAGATTTTCGGTAAGACTGGGTCCGATTTTGCAAAAAACAAAATCACTGATTTAAATTCTTCAAAGAATTCTGCTTTTAACTAATATAGTCACTAAAAATTATCTCGTTGAACGTCTCAAATTTTCATAAAATTATTTGATTTTTGCAAGAATTTCCAAATTAATATATCTGCCACCGCAAAAAGGTTTACTATGCTAAAACCGTTGACGCTAGAAAAACAATTTTTTTTTTATCCAAATTTCGAATGTTCTGAAAAGGAGTAAAAAAATTATTATTTCAAAAAACATTTTTATTCTTCCTCTTAACAATAACATAACAATTTTGACGATAAAACTATGTTTTCATTACGTGTGGAGCATGTTTTTATAATGGTATACTGAATTTTAGCGATTTCGTGGAGGTACCGAGTTAAGTACCATACACAATACACGCTTGGACGATCATGTATCTTCCGATTCATGACTAGGGAGAAGATTTTCTCACAGTAGGTTTTCATTTCTTTCTGCGATAGACTGGCTACCAACCAAGGCTATAGAATCAAGCTTGTCTTACTATTCAAACCATAGCTAGGCCAGTGCTACAGAATCTAAAAGAAATATACCAAATAAGAGAAACCATATCAACAGAGAGTTTTCAACATTAACAAGTAAACTAGATATTACTTGTAACTCGAAGAGAAAATAATAACATAATGAAAATATTGACTTTCCACATTACGTCAAACAAAAGTTTAGGAAGGAAAGACCCGTCAGTACTTGAAAGAGCAATAACAGTAATAGGACTTGAGAAACATATTTTCCTGATGAATAATTTTAATGGAAACGTTTTATGAATTTCAAACGACATACTAATTTATGTCTATTATATTCATATCATTGCAGCAAAACCAACATTTACCATGTGTGGGCTATTACAAATTCTTCTGTGAGAGGGCATTTAAATATATTTTCCTAACTTCTGAACACACTTTATTTTAATATTTTGCATAATATTTTTACTTCGGTGGATATGTACTAAACATTCAGCTAGTTAGTATTTTATAGGGTGGAGATTATTGTTTAACCTAATAATCTGATTAATTTATGTCCACATTTTTTAGTATTTGCCATGCTATTAGATATCTACTTGTAAGAGTTAATGAAAATCTACATTTATTTGTTTCAAAGATTCTATTTGCAATATCATTGGCTGCAAAAAAAAAATATCTTTGCTGAAAATATGTTTTGTTTCGTCCACTCTATTTATAGTCGTCAATTTGGATAACCACTTTTGGTTAACTACATTGTTGCTAGTGATTCTCAGTATTCCAGTTTCGTATCATATAAAAATGGACATCAAACAACAAGTATTCTCTCTTATGAGGCGGTTTAGAACATTAATAGGATGTTCCATCCTGCTAAGAAAATCTTCATGTAAACATATATTACTCTTTTATTTTTGTCTCATAAAAACAAAAAAGAGAAACATCTGTTAAGCGACAAGGGTTAGAACAAGTCGTAGTTGTCTTATAAACGACGACTCAAGAGACCGAAAGCTTTGAAACAAGATGAACTGAAATAGAAAACCTTCGTACAGATGCTGAGATAAAAATGGATTCAGGGTAAACATTTTGGAAGCAGGTATAGTGTTATTCAGAACGGAATTTGTGTAGCAATTCACGGTTAGATAAATTCAGAAATTACTATACTCTGTATCAACCAGGGCGATGTTTCTTAAGCTCGATTTAGTATACCATAATCATTACATGATTGATTTGGAATTATACAGTTGATCTGTGGAAAATTCTGAAAGATTAGACATATAATACAAACATATATATTACAGCAAATGTTATAATTAGTCTAATCGACATGTTAGAATAGACATCTCCGGATTTTTAAACAGTGGAATTGTCTACCGGCTTAGAAGAATTAAAAGGCTTATTATAAAAAATGTGTCTCCCGACAAGAATCGATACGTCATTTCAGTTTTTCAATCAGGGAAACCACTTTAAAGCTAAGTGATTTACCATTAGCACATTACAATGCAATTATCATATTTAAGAAATGCACATCTCTAGTTGGGGCTTTTGGAAGTCTATAGGTATAAACTTTATTTTAGTACCGAAAGGCAAACAGAATAATTTAAAGTAATTAATGCAATTTTAATCGGACATTATTACTTAAATGCAATGATTATATTATTTATAATAAAGAGAAAATTGTATGTATGTATGTATATTTACATCACACACACACAAACACAGGGTCCAATGGATAATTTTTCGTCTAAATTACGCAAAAATGAGAATAACACTAACATCTCATTTTAACCAAAATTACTCAAAAATATCTTGAAATACTAAAGGGTAAATTTATTCAATAAAATTGACAATGGCTTCGACCACGGCCCCCAAAAGACTTCGGAATCTCCTGCATCTCTTCTGAACGATCTCATTGTTTAAATGCTGCCATAATCCTTGTCTTCAGTTCATCTTTGGTGTTACAAGGAGTTTGTTGGTCTATCACTCAACTGCACTCCATAATCAAGGGGGATGCAATCTAGGGAGTTTGGTAGCCAGATGTAAGGGATGATGGGGTCACAGAAATTCTCTGACAGCTATGACTGGGTTCCCCTGCTTGTGAGGCATGGTGCAGAGTCCAGTTGCCAGATAGGGTCTTCCCACAGCCATCCTCTTGACCCAGGGCAGTACTATCTCTTCAAGGAACTTGATGTAGGCATTCTTGCTGAGTCTGAGGTTCTGTGGAAAGATGAATGAACATCGCCATCACTAGTGATCACGTCAAACACCTTCTTAATCACCATTAGACTCATCCACCTCTTTCTGAATCCTCTGCACTGTCCTCATATTGACACCCCAAAAATCTATAATGTTGGTACTGGATATTCCGGCGCGAATGCGAAGCAGTGTAACATGTCGGTTCCAAATTGCTGCCGTAGTGAATTGCGACGGGGGGGATCTTTTTCTCACAGACGATCCCTAACTGACCCTACCTTACTGTGCAGTTGATAAAATAAAAATAACGATTATGCGCGGAATAAAAAAATATAAAATAGGGATAATTTACCCATCGCTCCCCCCATATATATATATATATATATATATATATATATATATATATATATTATAATTCTATATATATAAGGAGTGAGAACAATAAAAGAATTTGACGACAGAAGATAACGATTTACATTGCATTTAAACTTTTGAAGAACAAAGTTGATTGGGAAGCAAGACGTTTAAAGAGATTTCCACAAGAGAGAAGTGCGATAGGAGAAACTGTTAATATAGAAAGTAAGGTTCCATCTAGCCTTCTCAGCTGTAAAGTGACAGAGCCATGCCAGGGATCAAGTACCATGCTTATATTCATATCTAGGTACCATAGCGGAAAGTTCATCGGAACAATTACCATAAATGTATTCATGGAAAACGCTTGGGGGAATCTACAAAGGAATATATATATATATATATATATATATATATATATATATATATATAGATAGATATAGATAGATATATATAGATATATATTAAAATTAACTGATTTAAATATGTTTTTCGCTACACAGTAATAACCTTGTTTCAAAAATGGAAGCTAAAAACCTAAAAAGTTTAATTTTCTAATTAAATTAAAATCATTATTTCCATTTCTATCCTCTAACGGATTTTGGATTATATATATATATATATATATATATATATATATATATATATATATATATATTGGTATGAGTTAAAAATAGCGTTTGAAGCAATAAGAATATGTTAACAATATTGCTTTGTTTACATTTTGAATTCGTTTCAAGAAAATAGAACCTTGCTCGATTGTGAAGCTCATCTTAGCCGAGCGGTTAAAGCTCGCTGGATAAGACGGTCGTCTCCTCCTGTAAAGGGGCTGGGGCGCATGTTAGAATCATCCTGGGAGAACATTTTATATATACTCCCCTGTATGTGCTTTACATTTCTCTCTCTCTCTGTTTCTCTGTATATATATATATATATATATATATATATATATATATATATACAGAGAGAGAGAGAGAGAGAGGAGAGGGAGAGAGAGGGAGAGAGAGTGGGAATGAACGAGGGCTGGATGTATGGATGGATAGGGAGGAGGTTGAATGGTCAGACGGACAAAAGAATGGACTCTTGGATTTGCGGTGGCTGATGGTTGGTTCGGTGGAGGAGCGAATTGATGGTTTGGATGGTTGACGTTTCTTAAGTTTACTAAAATACAACAAGGTCAGAAATACGAGGCATACATCCATATGCATATATATATATATATATATATATATATATATATATATATATATATATATATGTGTTTGCTAATATCTAATTTGGTTTACCTACTTCTATGCCTATATATATATATATATATATATATATATATATATATATATATATATATATACATACACATACATATGTATGTATGTATGTATATATATACATACATACATACATACATGTATGTATGTATATATATATATATATATACATACATACATACAGCGAACTAATGAACATGTTTTACATATATATATATATATATATGTGTGTGTGTGTGTGTGTGTGTGTGCATGCATGTGCGTGCGTGCGTGTGTGTGTGTGTGTGTGTGTGTGTGTGTGTGTGTGTGTGTGTGTGTGTGTGTTGATTGTCTCTCCATCAAAATCTTTAGTTAATCCGACTTGATCTGTTCATACAATTGAAGATCGGATTAGGCTAAGAGAAGTCAAGGACAAAAAATATGCAGCTAGATAATTCTTTAAGTTTTCCCGTCTATATTTTAACGTCAAATCTAGCGTAGTCTATTTTTATCACAGAATTTTGTGCTTCATGAAAAAAATACAAGTTCTCAAACTGAAACTACTGCCTTATCTCTCGCCTTACAGATTTTAATAAATTTTTCATTTTGGAGCCAAGCAAAAAGAAAAAAAAAACTATAAATTTTTATAAACGAGATGTAAGGATGGTGAATCCTTCAGATTATTTCTGCTGAATCTTTCATTTCCTTACAACAAATATTTGTCCCGCTACTAAAAATTGGAACGAATGAATCGCCTCGAGGGAGATCTGCCTGTATGTCACTGATCACAGAAGTCTCTGCTAGAGTACAACTTAAAAGCAAATTTCTCGAATATTGATATGTAGTTTAGTGAGAAGACTCTAAGAGAAATCGAAGATGAACCAAGATTTATTGTCGGTGGTTGTAAACTTAACAAAATATGCTACGTGGATGACACAGTGTTGATAACAAATTCAGAGGAAAAATGACATGTTGATAGCAAACACAGAAAAAAAAGCCATAAAAATTCCTTCAGAAGGAAAACAAGAAGAAAGGATCAAAGACCAACTGTAAGAAAACAAAATGCATGGTTGTTATCTAAAGAAAGGAACCCAAAGTGCAAATCGGACATACAAAATCAAATAAGTGCGGAAATTTAAATATCTGGAAAGTTTTTTTTTTTAACAGGGTACGGAAAGTGTGACATTGACATCCGAAGCCGTATTGGGGTATTCCAAAAGCTAACCAGAGTATTTAAAATAGAAACATAGAAACCAGGAAAAGAGTATTAAATTGCTACGTGATATCTGTCCTCCCGTATGGCAGTGAGTGCTGGTCGATCTCCTTAAAGGTGAAGAGGGGACATGAAGTAAAAGAATTGTGGCTCTATAGAAGAATGCTGAGGATACCATAGACCGAACATGTGAGCAACGATGAAGTATTAAAGAAGATAGAAACAAAAAGAAAACTAATACTTAACATCAGAAAGAGACAGCTGAGGTTTCTAGGGTACGTAATGAGTAAAGAAGGCTTAGAAAATCTGATACTTACGGAGCAGATAGAAGGACAGAGGAAAACAATGCATAACATGCTTAGTGCACCTGATTAAATAGATAGCGAAAAAGGGCTTAGGAGAAAGAACAGAAAGACAAAATTTATTAAAAGCTACAAGAGAGAGGAAGTTGTGGAGAGCCATGATCGCATACGTCATGAGAGGACACGGCACATAAATAGGATTCCTTTTACTTTAATTCCCTAAGATTGTTGCTAACGTCAGTATTGGAGTTGACTACGAATAAAGATGCTTGCTTTAAACTAGTTAAATAATATAAAAGAAAAAGTCCTTTTTATATTATTAAATATATAGATGTGAATATAGACAATTTGAAGATCTCACTGAAGCGTGCAACTGAGACATAACATGCAGTGTTAATTTTTATGTCCAACTTGTCTAGTTCAATAAAAAAAAAAACTAAAACTAAAATGCTGTGTGATATTGTCCTCCAGTATGGCAGTGACTGCTGAACAATCTCGTCAAAGATGGAAACTTGAAGCAACAGAAATGTAGTTCTACAGAAGGATGTTGAGGATGCTGTGGACCAAATATATGTGCAACGACGACGTTTTGGAGAAAATGAAAACAAAATAGAAACTAATACTTAACGTCAAGAAGAGATAGTTGATATTTCTGGGACATATATTGAGGACGGTGTCCTTGGAAATTCTTATACTTATGTGACAGTGAGCGAGCAGGAGGGACAGAGGAAAACAATGTATGACATAGTGAAGTTGAGTAAATTGATGGAAAACAGAATTGAATAACCGTTAATTTTAAGAAGTTGGTGGGTGACGTATTTATGAGCAAAGGGAACAATCCAAGGGGTGGCTTAAATATTTAAATGATAAAAGTCCAAAAAGATACGGAAATTAACTAAACAAAATGAGAAATGAAAGCAGAAGTCAGAAAGCCAAATAAACTCGTTAAAGTTTCTTTTCAGAAACTGATAAAATAATTAAAAATTAAATAAAAATCTTTAGTTCTGATCTGCTGTGTGACATCCAACCTCTTGTGTTGCATTGAATGATAGACAGTTGCTTCAAAGATAAAGAAAATAATTGAAGCAACGGAGATAGGCAACAACAGAAAAAAATATTTGATAGAAATGAGGAAAGATTATTATTATGAATGAGGAGTTTTTCAGAAGAATAGAAAAAAAAACAAAAACAAAAACAAAAACAAAACAAAAGAAAATCAAAGAAACTTTTACCAAGAAAGAAAATCAAACAGCTGATTGGGTTGAAGAACAATGAGGAAAGAAGGGTTGGAGAATTTAACACTAACGAAAGCAGGAAAAGATCGGGAAGGTTGAATAAATGAATGGCAGAAAACATACCATAAAATCAAAGAAAGTTCATAAAAAATTAATATGTAGAGCAACAAGTGATTGGAAGATGTAGAGTGCCATTATTACCCAGGTTCTTCTTTTTGTCTACTACTACTACTACTACTACTACTACTTCTCCTTCTATTCCTCCTCATACTTTCTTCTTCTTCTTCTTCTTCTTCTTCTTCTTCTTCTTCTTCTTCTATTCCTTCGTCTACATCTTCTTCTAATCCTTCCTCTTCGTCTACCTCTACTATTACTACTACAATTACTACTACTTGTTTTTTCTCCTACTCCTTCTTCTTCTTCATCTTCTACTCCTTCTTCTTTTGCTCCTTCTTCTTGTTCTTCCACTCCTTCCTCTTCTATGATCATGTTCCTGTATGACGTTGAACACATGTTCTGTCCATTGTATTCTCAGCATCTTTCTGTAGAACCACATGATTGTTGTTTCAAGTCGTCTTGATCGTTGAACTGATTGTCCAATATTCGCTGCTATATAGGAGGATTGATAATACGGAACAGTTCATTACTATTGCCTTTGTTTCTAACGAAATTTTCCTGTTTCTTTATAATTTGCTTATTTTTTGAAGGCACCTTTCGTTATGCTATTGCGTCTTGGGATTTCAGTGTCACACATTCTGTCCTCTGTTAAAGCACTTCGCAAATATTTAAATTGTTATTCTTATACACACACACACACACACATACATATATATATATATATATATATATATATATATATATATATATCACCAAAAACACTATTCTTAAAAAAGTGCTCAATACAGAGTAGAGCAATTATACAAATGAGAGAAAGAACGGATGGAGTAAAAATCCACAGTTCGTAGCATTTTCGTTTTTAAAAAAGTGCTCTATACAAAGCTGAGCAAAATATTGTTATAATATTTTTATTATAAATTACAATAAAATAAAAACATATATAGAATGTTTGTATTGTATTTTTATATATATATATATATATATATATATATATATATATATATATATATATATATATATAATTATTTATTTAAAAATTATAATATATGTTATAAAAACCACTACAAAAATAGCCATTTTGTTTCAATATGGCTATTTTTGTAGTGATTTTATAATATATTTATATTATAATTTTTAAATGAATAATTATATCTGCTCTACTCTGTATTGAGCAATCTTTTTAAGAATAGTAATTGTTGGTTATTGAAATTCATTCCATATACACCAATTATATACTTGGATATATATATATATATATATATATATATATATATATATATATATAGTATTTATTCAAAAATTATAACATACTTATGTTATAAACACCACTACAAAAATAGCCATTTTGTTTCACCACTTCTGGTGTATTGTCAAGTGATAGTTCAGAAGACTATTTCATCGATTGCATACAAGATCTTAATCATTAGGAACTCAGTAATCCTACATACGTCTGTGAATTCAAATAAACTTTCTTTTAGATTGATTGCTATCCAAGTATTGAGAGCACAAACATCACTATTATTTGTCCTGTAATTTACATGGCTAGAGATGGATTCATACGTTTCCAAAAAGGATTTGGGCAAAACTAAATGTAACCTACTTTGTCGCAACTGGAAACCCACCCGCCGATTTTGAATCATTTTCTACATGTATTATTATATGTAGTTATAAGTAGACGTGGCCGTTAACTTAAACACGCCTATCAGTTTTATATTTTAGTATACTATTAATATAATCTTAACTTAAAATACTGTTCTAATTCTAATGTAGGTGCAGTAACCCTAGTTTCGAAAATGATCTGACATTTGCCAAGTATGAAGTAAACTCTTCTCTCAGTAGTTATGTGAGATTATCTCGCAAAGCATTGCTCCTCATTAATGACGACTACCTGATAATGGCATCCAGTTAATGATATCTCAGGCGAGTAAATATTTATTCAGAGAAAAGAAAAAAACTAGAAAACATATTTTCCGAATTTCTCTATCGTGTATCCTCGCCGTGCGGTCCCCATGTTGCTTAGAAAATAAGTGTAAACCATTAAATTGAT